CCCGCCGGCCCACGCCGGGCTGGGCGCCGGCCGTCCCGCACCTCGGCTGCAACAGGGTGCTGTCAGTCCGGGTCGCGTCTGTGCGAGCACTTTGCAGTCTGTGTGTCCGTCCCACCGTTAAGTGACATTATAGGTTCCTGGCAGAAAGGAAGCCAAGCGAGGGGCAGCTGTGAGGATGAGAGGCGGGGTTAACTCTCCACTGCGGCCCCTGATACTGGGGCTCAGTTTACCCCCGTGTCGCTCCTTGCTCTCATCCCTGAGTTCATTATTCTGTAGGTAGTTGAAAATGGTTCTAGAAGCAAGATTCTATTCCTCCCTCCAAAACAGGCCTATCAGCGTCTGAAAAGGAAACGCATGTTCTAGCGTGGAAGCTGCCTTGCTCAGTGCAGAAAATGCTACAACCTGCCTGGGCAGGACCCCCAGCCCTCAGACTCTAGAAATATGTAGCTCCCCGGGGGACCTTCTGCATCCTTCCTTAACCTGGAAATAAAAACCTTTTGGACATATCTAACCTGAATAATTCACTGGCATTTCCAGTTGGAAATGATATGGTTTAAACAACAACAACAAAAAGCCCTTCATGCCCTATCCCAGACTCTCAGGCCTCTCCTCTGACTTGACAGTTTTGATCAACGACATTCCCATCCCCCCAGCTTTGTTCTCATTGAAGCCAAGTTGAAGTTATGAGCACCCAAGTAGCTCCATACAATGGGGACTTCTGAATCAAGGCCTCCAGAGAGAAAACCCTAGAAGCTGGAGTCAAAACAGGCCACCAAACAGACAATTGGCCATTAAATTCCCTAGAGCAGCAGGGGCTTCCCCTTGCCAGGTGCAGGCTAACTCACACAGATCTGGACTAAATTGTTCAAAATGTAGCCATGGACAAGATACAGGCCCTATTCAACATGGAGATTATTGTATCAGTATCTGTCCTTGGTTTATCCAAAGTAAGGACAGTCTTCTGTGGGCAGCATGAACAGGGCCAGCCTAGAATTACCCAGCTCTGGTAACAGTACCTCCCTGTTCTCAGATTTGCTGCAAAGAGGGAAAATGCTACCAAGCTCCAGAGGAGACATCGTGGTAAAGCAGCTCCTTGGCCGAGGCCTTCAGCAGCCTTCCCTAGCATCTGGGTCATCCCGGGCAGTGTGACTTGAATCTCATGTAGAAGTGCTTCCCTTTGGCCTTTCTTCTCACTTCCCAAAAGCTGGTCAAACCGGAGTGGAGGAAGCCCTTTCCGTTATCTATACCTTATGGAATGAGTGGGAATTCATAAAATTGCAATAGGTGGTTGAGGACAGGACCATCTCCAGACAAAAATGAGCAGACACAGTTTCTCTCCCGTTCCTTCCTCTTCTTCAGGATTCTTCTCATTCCACTCTCTTCAACATTAGCCTCGGGGTCTGGGAGGCTTGTGTGGTTTCTAGGCTTTCCTGGAATAGTCCCTTATTCAGGCTCCTCCTCCCACCCCAAAGAAAACACCCTAGTCTGTTTGCCCTTCCCCCAACCCCAAGGCTATTAAAAATCACCTCATTTGTGTCTCATTCGGATCAGGCAGAGCTCTCTGCTTTACCAGGTGGCAGTCCTAGTTTGTCAACCAGACCACCTTGGTGGGTTTATACTCTCTCTTCAGCCAGGTCACCCTTGGGGACTTAAAAACTGGCCTCACGAAAAACCTGGTCTGCATGATCAACCCAAAGTGACGCATTGACCCTCACCAGAAAGGAGGGGTGAAGACTGCTATGACACATATTTGGGAGTGACGGGTCTTGGGTAGCTCTCAACTTTTTAAAGACATAATGTTCCCTATGAATGCTATCGTTATACTCTATGATTGCTATGGTAAGGCCTGTCCTGGCTCCTCTGGGATTTTCTGAAAATATGAAGAGGTTCTGATATAACTTAAGCAGGGATAAAAATTCAACGGTATATAACTGAGAATTTATCAAATAAAATAATAGAACATGCAAGTTTTTCTTATGAGGCCTTTGTAAAGTAAGAGATCATTTCACTAATTCAGACTTCTGCTTTTCTGCTGCTTTAATGTCTTCAATGGGGCCATACTAGAAGAGGTCCAAACTCTCCTGTATATCTTGGCCAAACTAGCCTCTTCTCTGCCCATCTGGCAAAATTCATCATTTTTCTAAGACCTGCTCAAATTTCAGCTCCTTAGGAAAGTCTACCCCTGAGCTTGCCCATACTCTGCTCACACTTTTCTTAGCACTGGCTGAACATAATAATTAGCAACTAAATCCCTTTTACAAGAAGTCAGACTCTAAACAGATACACAAATGTAATTATCTGTCTATATGAGAGGTACCCTTAGATTAAGAAAGGATCATTGCTGTATCACCAGGGTTTTCAAGTGACAAGAAATTCTTTAAAAAAAAAAAAAAAGTGACTAGAAATGAATCTTTTTATCTCTGTCTACCTAAGACTTTTTTCTAGAAAGATCCCTGGCCTCATATGCTATTCAAACAAGCCTACAATTTGTAGGTCTCTGTCTGGAAGACCACAGAGTCATCTTCATGGTTTACATGGCCCCGGGACCCAGGGGCTGTCCCCCTAACAGGATGCCTGAGCCTGTTACACTCCTCATCCTGGGACTTCATCTCGGAAGGTTCTGAATGGGAATTTCTCTTAAAAGAAACAAATAATTCACCAACAAGTATTTAGTGAAAATCTACTGAGAGACTGCAAAGCGACTGGAAAAACCACCCCATTCTTTCTCTAAGATCTACCAAAAGCCAGCAACAGCCATAAAACGGATCCTGTTTTTTGATTCAGTCACTCCTTTTTTGGACAATAACATAGAAACAAACTTAAAAAATGAACAATTATAAAGCCAGCCATCCAAAAGACACAAAGAAATACATTAGAGAAATTTAAAAACAAAACAAAATAAAAAACTACTTCCACTGAGATAAAGGAAGGATCATTGCATTCACAGAAGCATCAAAGGGGAGAAACAAGTGAAATCGCTTAACATTTGGGGAATGATTAAGCCAACTATGGTGTCTTTACAAGGGTATATTTAACAGTGTATAATGGGCGTTAAATGAAATGTGCATACTATGTAGATTTATAGAGAAGTTTGTAGTAAATAAGTTTCTGTGACAATAATATGACACAGGCCAAAAGCTGATCTCAGCAGACCCGTGGTGAGTCATCTGGTCTGCTCGAGGACCAATTAAGGAAACATTAAAATGTTTATATAAACCTTGTTTCTAATAATTCTATCTTTTCTATGGAACATTAGTATCTGCAATATCAGTTAAATAGCCTTTTAATATTTCTCATTTTCTGAACTACTTTCTTCCTTCCTTTTTTCCTTCCTGTCTCCCCTAAATTCCATACACTTTCTAACTAGCAAGTGCTGCCATCTGTTATTCGTAACTCAGACCCTGTAAAACGCACTCTGAGGAGCTGAATCTGGGACATACCGGGTTCAGAGAGGGATCTGAGGGATTTAGGAAAGCAGAGGTGAGAGGGTCCCACAACTCACCCACAGACTTAAAGAAGTAGAAAGCGTACATCAAGTAGGGGGAAGACAGATGCAGCTGTTTTGAAAGAATTTACATTGGCTATAGATAAAGGGGGTGGGGAAGGTGAAGTGGGACTAGTTCTGGGACAGGTGCAGAGTCCATGAGGAAAAGAGTTAGCTCCTGTGGGTCGGTTGTGAGCAACACTCTGGGAAGCTCCTGTGTAAACAAGAAGCGAGGCTCCTGGGGCTCCATGGCACCTGGTTCTCCTCTCTTTCAGATAATCAGGGAACAGCCGCCTGGAAAGTAATTCAAAGTTCTAGCACCGTCAGGGATGTGAGCAGTCTTGTCAGCTGACCCCCAGCTATTAACAGGCTGTTCAGGCTCTTTCTCTCCCTCTCCAGGCTGCTATCATTCCACTTAGGACATTTCAGAATTTTTCTCTTGTCACCAGGGAGGCCTGAGAACAGAAGGAGCCTCCATCTGGGGGGAAGAGAAAGTCCCCAGGCACCAGGGAATGGAGCAGTGTGGTGGAGGCCAGGGGAGATAAGTGGATTCAAATCCCTCTGTAAATTACTCTCCTCCCTTGGCCACTCCAGTTGTCTTCACCTTCATGTGGAAAGGACAGTGATATCTTTTAGAAGCTTAGGAGCAGCAGCTGGAGAAGTGGGGGAGTTGTCGGCACTAGGGACAGACAGACGGGAGCAGAGGAGGGTGGAGACCCACCTTC